AGTATTAGTGGGGTCAGAGAACCCGGCACCCACACGATGAATATCGGGATTATTAGGTATAGTATTAGTGGGGTCAGAGAACCCGGCACCCCACGATTGAATATCGGGATTATTAGGTATATTATTAGTGGGGTCAGAGAACCCGGCACCCACACGATGAATATCGGGATTATTAGGTATAGTATTAGTGGGGTCAGAGAACCCGGCACCCACACGATGAATATCGGGATTATTAGGTATAGTATTAGTGGGGTCAGAGGACCCGGCACCCACACGATGAATATCGGAATTATTAGGTATAGTATTAGTGGGGTCAGAGAATCCGGCACCCACACGATGAATATCGGGATTATTAGGTATAGTATTAGTGGGGTCAGAGGACCCGGCACCCACACGATGAATATCGGGATTATTAGGTATAGTAATAGTGGGGTCGAGGTTCTTGGAAGCTGGGGTCTTAAGCATTTAGAGCGCTACCCTACCTCAGTTTATTTGTAAAGAAATCGGACACAGCCCCCCCCCCTCCCCCACCGCACCCCCATCTCGAGTACAGCCAACATCTCGAGTACAGCCCACACCCCGAGTACAGCCCACACCCCGAGTACAGCCCACACCCCGAGTACAGCCCACACCCCGAGTACAGCCCACACCCCGAGTACAGCCCACACCTCGAGTACAGCCCACACCCCGAGTACAGCCCACACCTCGAGTACAGCCCACACCCCGAGTACAGCCCACACCCTGAGTTCAGCATACACCCCGAGTACAACCCACAACCCGAGTACAGCCCATACCCCGAGTAAAACCCACACCCGAGTACAGCCCACACCCCTAGTAGAGCCACACCCAAAGTACAGCCACCACGCCATCAAACTTTGTAAAGCGGCTCTATTCCCTTCTACTCGCCATGTGTAGAAGTTAACGTTTAGGTTTTTATTTATACACATATTTCGGAGGATCTGCTGGCCAGACGGTTAAAACGCTGGGCTCCCAAGCGAGAGACTTGGGTTCGAATACTTGGTGAGGCTGAAGACTTTTTTTTCTGTCAGGGGCAAAATAAAATAAAATCTGCACAGTCGTGGCGACAGCATTAGTCATGCGGCCATAAATCCCCAGGCTCAAAGACTTCCCTGCCTACACCGTAACAGTGGCAAAGTAAAGGCAGTAATTCGCAGTTTCTAAATATATCTCAAACATTTCATAGATGTAGCCAAAAAAAGAGAAGCTTAAACACATATAAAATAAAGCCATTCAGCACATTATTATTAAGCACTTAAAGAAGGCATACACCCTTTAAGCATCGTCTTCTATTAGAAAATTGTGCAAGGATACTTCAATTTCAAAAGAAACTTCTCTAATTATTCACCTTGTACGACATGGTTGTTAGGGAGGCAGTGGGTTTATTCCCCCCCCCCCCCCACCCCTTCCTTCCGGAATCCACATTCTGTTATCACTTTGCATTCTCCCCGTTAACACACGATCACAAGCTCGGTCATTTATCACCGGGACGATTTGCCGAACTCGTTCACCGAATACTTATCATACAAACCTTGCGGTTTACGTAACTGTACCTAGTTTAGCTGTTCTCAACGTGTGGGTCGCGACACTTTTTGGACTGAAACGACCCTTGCACTTTCACAAGGGTCGTCTAAGAGCACCAGAAAACACATATTCACTGAAGTTATGAAGTAGCAACGAAAATAATTGTATGGATGGGGGTCGCCACAACACGAGGAACTGTACTGAAGGGTCGCCACAACATGAGGAACTGTACTGAAGGGTCGCCACAAAATGAGGAACTGTACTGAAGGGTCGCCACGACATGAGGAACTGTACTGAACCGTCGCCACGACATGAGGAACTGTACTGAACCGTCGCCACGACATGAGGAACTGTACTGAACCGTCGCCACGACATGAGGAACTGTACTGAACCGTCGCCACGACATGAGGAACTGTACTGAACCGTCGCCACGACATGAGGAACTGTACTGAAGGGTCGCCACGACATGAGGAACTGTACTGAAGGGTCGCCACAACATGAGGAACTGTACTGAAGGGTCGCCACAAAATGAGGAACTGTACTGAAGGGTCGCCACGACATGAGGAACTGTACTGAACCGTCGCCACGACATGAGGAACTGTACTGAACCGTCGCCACGACATGAGGAACTGTACTGAACCGTCGCCACGACATGAGGAACTGTACTGAACCGTCGCCACGACATGAGGAACTGTACTGAACCGTCGCCACGACATGAGGAACTGTACTGAAGGGTCGCCACGACATGAGGAACTGTACTGAACCGTCGCCACGACATGAGGAACTGTACTGAAGGGTCGCCACGACATGAGGAACTGTACTGAAGGGTCGCCACGACATGAGGAACTGTACTGAAGGGGCGCCACGACATAAAGAACTGTACTGAAGGGGCGCCACGACATGAAGAACTGTACTGAAGGGTCGCCACGACATGAAGAACTGTACTGAAGGGTCGCCACAACAAGAGGAACTGTACTGAAGGGTCGCCACAACATGAGGAACTGTACTGAAGGGTCGTCACAACATGAGGAACTGTACTGAAGGGTCGTCACAACATGAAGAACTGTACTGAAGGGTTGCCACAACATGAGGAACTGTACTGAAGGGTCGTCACAACATGAGGAACTGTACTGAAGGGTCGCCACAACATGAAGAACTGTACTGAAGGGTCGCCACAACATGAGGAACTGTACTGAAGGGTCGTCACAACATGAGGAACTGTACTGAAGGGTCGTCACAACATGAGGAACTGTACTGAAGGGTCGTCACAACATGAAGAACTGTACTGAAGGGTTGCCACAACATGAGGAACTGTACTGAAGGGTCGCCACGACATGAGGAACTGTACTGAAGTGTCGCCACGACATGAGGAACTGTACTGAAGGGTCGCCACGACATGAAGAACTGTACTGAAGGGTCGTCACGACATGAAGAACTGTACTGAAGGGTCGTCACGACATGAGGAACTGTACTGAAGGGTCGCTGCATTAGGAAGACTGAAAGCCATTGACCTAGTTAATTAAGCAGCTCATTATATCGTATCTCGGCTAGAGAGTATGTGTCTGGACTGCTCACATAACCTCATAGCCAAATAGAGAAGCTGGAACGCGTGTACAATATAGCCATGCGAGTCGTTTGGAATGTACACAGGATACGCCAATCGTGTGCATGCAGCGCATACTTCCACTGCAGGGCGGGGGGGGGGGGAGGGGAGGGGAAGGGAGACTGCGTGGTCTTGAGGTTAGGCATCTGTTTCGAGTGCAGGAGGTCCCGGTTTCAAACCCTGGTGAACGCTGCGGTTCTTTTCACATGGACTTTAGTAATTTCCCCTGGTCTCTGGGTAATAAGACTGGACGCCCGTGTGTATTGTTTGCGCACGTAAAAAATACATCGGCAGTGGGAAATCGAACAAGGGTAGACTAACGTCGCTTGCCCGGGCAAAATTTAAAGTTAAAAATAAACCCACAAGTATTTCAGGATCCTTCCCGGTACTACGCGCTGAGATTTTTCAGAAGTAGAACGGAGCACTTGTGGATTTACAACCGCCTGCCACGATGTTGATCGGTCGACTAAAGTAAAACTAAACTAAACCTCCACTACCGTCAGTATATGGGAAGTGTGAGGTCTTACCGGCACAAATGAACATTAGAGTTTCTGCGGAAAGGGAACACATTGTACAAAAGGCCTTGGGTGACAGCAAGGGCCATAGGCTCTCAGATGGCACAGACAGAAGTCACGATCAGAAATGTTTGTGCAATTGACAAGCTAGCGTATGACGAGGACTGGGTCACGATTCCTCTCAGCTTTAAACAGGGTGGTAATCATTTTAGACCGGTGGTGTCGGGAATGGAAGGCTGTCGAAACAGAAGCATCAGTACAACGGCTGATCAAAGACGGTCCACGCCCATTTAAAGACGGATTAATTTACACTTAAGAGCTAACATGAACAGATCTGCAAAGGTGAACGGGCATTGTTTAAAAATGAAAGCCTTGTGTTTGACGTCACAATATCAAGCAATAAAATGGAGGGTGAAGCAGCAACGGCAGAATTACTAGCGGTGGAGAGTATTTCGGTCTGACATGTTGTGATTGTAACGAGCCCGGCTCGCTAGCGTAGTTGGCTAAACCGGATTGCGCGGTGACCGGGTGACGAACTCCTTGTGGTCCGGGTTCACTCCCGGGGGTAGGCAGAAAAGCCACATTTCTCTCAGTTTTACGGTATTTATCATGGAATCAAGGCCGAAGGGTTACGATATCCATAATATCGAGCCTAAGGGTTAACAAATCATGGCTTCTAAATACTAAAAAAAAAAAAGTGATTGTAACGAATTCACAAAGCATGGCAGGAAAAAAAATACAAGCAGATATCCCCTTGCATAACTTTGCTTACTGAAACTCAGATTTGAGTTTCGTTGCGTTGAATTAAGAACCGATATCATAGAAATCGGAGCGTTCCCATAAACAATCCCTCCCAATGTTCAGCAGCCAGCGCAAAAAAAAAGGGGGGGGGTGGGGGAGGTGAAGGTCCAGAGAACCAAAGTGCCCATCTTCCGGCGGCCCTTGTTGCAGACGATTTTGCAGCAGATCGCGTTGTACTGATGTTCGCAGTTGTATAAACATTGTACCTTCCATAAAGCAAACAACAAACTTTAGTCATTAAGTGGCATATCCTTTACAGGACACTGTAAAGCGGCCCCCGCATTTGTCGACTCTTTGTGGTTTAACTGGGAGATTTTACATTGGGTCATTTGCCATTGCTTTCTGGACGACTTGAAGCTTATAAAATGCTGCAGAACGTAGAGACTTTGTAGCCAGATCGTCTACAACGGAATGTGAGCACTGGTGAGCACTGCTGTGTGGGAATTGTGACACTGCGATCACAAGCCCACAAGCCACGGTAGCTGACAATGGCAAACTACTAAACATAAAATTGCTGTGAGACCCACGCACCATCATCATCATCTAACGTGCCGATTTAGGGTAGACTTCTCACAGATCGCCAAAATCACCGTGAACCAAGGGAGCAGGTAATGAACTGAGCCGGGGAGCAAGTAATGAACTGAGCTGGGGAGCAAGTAATGAACTGAGCCGGGGAGCAGGTAATGAACTGAGCCGGGGAGCAAGTAATGAACTGAGCCGGGGAGCAAGTAATGAACTGAGCCGGGGAGCAGGTAATGAACTGAGCCGGGGAGCAAGTAATGAACTGAGTCGGGGAGCAGGTAATGAACTGAGCCGGGGAGCAAGTAATGAACTGAGCCGGGGAGCAAGTAATGAACTGAGCTGGGGAGCAGGTAATGAACTGAGCTGGGGAGCAGGTAATGAACTGAGCTGGGGAGCAGGTAATGAACTGAGCCGGGGAGCAGGCAAGGAACTGAGCTGGGGAGCAGGTAATGAACTGAACTGGGGAGTAGGCAATGAACTGAGCCAGGGAGCAGGCAAGGAACTGAGCTGGGGAGCAGGTAATGAACTGAGCTGGGGAGTAGGCAATGAACTGAGCCAGGGAGCAAGCAAGGAACTGAGCTGGGGAGCAGGTAATGAACTGAACTGGGGAGCAGGTAATGAACTGAGCTGGGGAGCAGGTAATGAACTGAGCCGGGAAGCAGGCAATGAACTAAGCTGGGGAGCAGGCAATGAACTGAGCTGGGGAGCAGGTAATGAACTGAGCTGGGGAGTAGGCAATGAACTGAGCTGGGGAGCAGGCAATGAACTGAGCTGGGGAGTAGGCAATGAACTGAGCTGGGGAGCAGGCAATGAACTAAGCTGGGGAGCAGGCAATGAACTAAGCTGGGGAGCAGGCAATGAACTGAGCCAGGGAGCAGGCAAGGAACTGAGCTGGGGAGCAGGTAATGAACTGAGCTGGGGAGCAGGTAATGAACTGAGCCAGGGAGCAGGCAATGAACTGAGCTGGGGAGCAGGTAATGAACTGAGCTGGGGAGTAGGCAATGAACTGAGCCAGGGAGCAGGCATGGAACTGAGCTGGGGAGCAGGTAATGAACTTAGCTGGGGAGAAGGCAATGAACTGAGCTGGGGAGTAGGTAATGAACTGAGCTGGGGAGCAGGCAATGAACTGAGCTGGGGAGTAGGTAATGAACTGAGCTGGGGAGCAGGCAATGAACTGAGCTGGGGAGTAGGTAATGAACTGAGCTGGGGAGCAGGCAATGAACTGAGCTGGGAAGTAGGCAATAAACTGAGCTGGGGAGTAGGTAATGAACTGAGCTTGGGAGCAGGTAATGAACTGAGCCGGGGGGGGGGAGGGGGCAGCTGATAGATAGTTGTAGGTCCAGGTCTCAAGCCACCCCCCTCCTCGCGGTTTGCAGAGCATCAAACTATAGTAACCATTGCTACGGTCAACCGGCCAGTATATTCTTTGCAAGAAGGAAATCGATGTCAAACAACCTGCTTTAGGAAGTCATTTCACAAAACCATGTAACGGTGAAATAAAATTATATTCTTCTTCGATGTCCCGGAGAAAATATGCAACTAACTAACTAAATAATAATAATAATCACTTTATGAAACGGAGTTAATAATGAGGAACGTTGCCACAATGGCAAAATCAAATCAAACGAACACACAGACCCAACAATTCATCAAAATGCGTGTAACCACTACTACCCAGAAGTCGATATTACAGGTCGTTCAATTAAATATCCCATTCCTTTTAACACGTAATGTTTGATAATCGCTTTTCGTGTGCGTCTTGTATACAAACTAAGAAAATAACAACACATTTAATTGGTGGCGATGAATAGCTCTCACAGCCCGCATGCCTTGTACATTCGCTCTTTTCTATGAGTGGCCACACACTTGATTGTGAAAATATTGCAATGATTGTGGGGATACTTCAGTGCTTGTGGAGATATTTTGATGATTGTGGAAACATTTTAATTATTGTAGGAGTATTTCAAGTACTGTGTATTCAGCTCCCAAGAAAGCCAGCAGGGATATTTGTGCTTTCTGATTGACTTATTTTCAGTGTAGTTTGAGATAATGAATTCAGGTACACTATTTAATGTCGTATTCTAAATATCTTTGTTCTCTCTCTCTCTCTCTCTCTCTCTCTCTCTCTCTCTCTCTCTCTCTCTCTCTCTCTCTCTCTCTCTCTCTCTCTCTCTCTCTCTCTCTCTCTCTCTCTCTCTCTCTCTCTCTCTCTCTCGATGACAGGCTAATATAGACACAGATAGATAACTAGTATTTACATTTCAGTTTGAAAGCTCCGATTTATTTCTTCAATGATTGAGTAGGAATCGATGACTCACACCCACAAGTCGCACAGAGAAGATATATGATCTCACAATTAGGAACTTATAACGAGAGTCACACCATCTCGCTCGCGCGGGAGGTTTCGTGCCGACTCCCATTCATGTCGTGCTAGTTTCCCACAGGCTGTCCTATATTCTAGGTGTGTTTTGAGATTTCTTTTTTCTGTGACTGGCGTTCGTTGGACGAGGTCCCAGAAGCAACTGCGCAGCTTTCTTTCCACAACTGTCTTTTGTATGGACGAGTATTACATATGGAGTGTGTTGTTGCTGTGAGTGAAATGTGTTGTTGCTGTGGGTAGGTCAGGCACCGTAGGCGTCTATGTGCAAAGAAGAAGTACTGCAAGGGAAAGTGCAGAAGGCGTCTGTGTGCAAAGAAGAAGTACTGCAAGGGAAAGTGCCAAAGGCGTCTGTGTGCAAAGAAGTACTGCAAGGGAAAGTACCAAAGGCGTATGTGTGCAAAGAAGAAGTACTGCAAGGGAAAGTGCTGAAGGCGACTGTGTGCATAGAAGAAGTACTGCAAGGGAAAGTGCTACAGGCGTCTGTGTGCAAAGAAGAAGTACTGCAAGGGTAAGTGCCACAGGCGTCTGTGTGCAAAGAAGAAGTACTGCAAGGGAAAGTGCCACAGGCGTCTGTGTGCAAAGAAGAAGTACTGCAAGGGAAAGTGCCACAGGCGTCTGTGTGCAAAGTAGAAGTACTGCAAGGGAAAGTGCCGAAGGCGACTGTGTGCAAAGAAGTACTGCAAGGGAAAGTGCCGAAGGCGTATGTGTGCAAAGAAGTACTGCAAGGGAAAGTACCAAAGGCGCCGGTGTGCAAAGAAGAAATACTGCAAGGAAAGGTGCTGCAGGCGACTATGTGCAAATAAGAAGTACTGCAAGGGAAAGTGCCGAAGGCGTGACGTTTTGTGAGTATCAAATCATTGATTATATTTTAAAGCTCATTGGAAGTGGCTGTCATCGGTGTTCGATGTGCTTAAAACCTTCAAAACTTGCGAAACATGACACCCCTTAAACATAGGACAGCTCATGGGAACTGGCTGGAAATAAGTGAGAGCCGGCACGAAATCTTGCCCGCGAGCGAGATGGGGCGACTCTCGAAATAAGTATCTAATATTGTTAATTTAACTTGTGACCATGTCCTGTGCTATAGGTTTTTAATGCTGTTTACTTAGTCTTTGCATTGTTTAAGATAGTCTTCTTCTGATCTCTTTTGTCCAGTCGCCATTGTTGTTAACCAGTGAGCACAAATATTCCAAATATTTGACATTTTCGATTTTTTTCAGTATCGATTACAATATGAGAGATGCTGCATATGCAGTGAAACTGTGTGTGTGTGTGTGTGTGTGTGTGTGTGTGTGTGTGTGTGTGTGTGTGTGTGTGTGTGTGTTTTAATTTAGGAGAAGATTCACGTTATCGTTGTGCTTTTTGGCGGCCAAAATTATTTCTTCTAACCCCTAAACACTTTTGGAAAGAATAAATGCGCGGTCTGCATATTCAGAGTTCTGCGATCGGCTTGTCTCCGATTGTGAGTGTATCAAAGCGGTCACAGGCATCATGATTAACACTCTGGGTAATGTGGTCAGCATTACGCCGGCTGTCTTTACTTTCCCAGGACAGCCCATCCTGGTACCCATTTTAGGCTGGGTCGACCTGCGACGTCCCATACCACGACAAAAATCCAAGCAGCCTGCAGTAGGTTTCGATCGCGGTATGCTGGCTCACGAGTCGGACTCGCAACGCCTTAGCCACGAACGCCACCATACATATAAATGTCTGTCTGTCTGTCTGTCTGTCTGTCTGTCTGTCTGTCTGTCTGTCTGTCTGTCTGTCTGTCTGTCTGTCTGTCTGTCTGTCTGTCTGTCTGTCTGTCTGTCTGTCTGTCTGTCTGTCTGTCTGTCTGTCTGTCTGTCTGTCTGTCTGCCTGTCTGTCTGTCTGTACGCCTGTCTGTTTCTTTGTTTGTCTGCCTGGCTGTCTGTCTCTCTATCTGTCCGTCTGACTGTCTCTGTCTGTCTGACTTTTTGTCTTTATGCCTGCCTGTCTGTATGTGTGTGTATCTCTCTCTTTGTCTGTTTGTCTGTCCGGCTGTCTATCTGTATTGCGGTATTATAACGCCAAATTTATTTTCTTCGCCTCTCTTCCAATTTTCTCAAGGCATCCACCCATTCACAGTATCTCAGTCCATTCATCCATTTCTTTCTCCCACATTTCCCCCTCCCTTACAACTTTATTCTATTACCCTGTCATGAGGAAGTAATCAGGTACCGGAACGTGACCCTTCTCTTAATGTGTTTATTTTTCTCTCTTTTTGCAGCGAGTACCAGCAACCAGGAGTATACAGAAACGATCTGCTGTCTGCGGATGCGCACCTGGTGAGTGAACTTTGAAATCACCCAACCACCCACCTCTGTCTGGCATGAACGCACTCGCCAACATACACATAAACACACGCATTCTCTCAGGTACGCTTTCTCAACCCAGATACATCTAAACCCAGATACATCTCAACCCAGATACATCTAAACCCATTCGCAAGCTCATTATGTATTTTTGCAGCGTGGGGGATTTCCCGCTAAATGCAATGAAACTGGGAAACCAGAGCCATCTGTGATTCCCCACCCACTTTTCCTCATTTCATGAGTGTGTGTATGTGTGTATTTGCGTGTTTGTGTGTGCGCGGGCGCGCGTGTGTGTGGCAACTAGCGTTTTGTTGACAAACGAATCAAAAAAGGACAGGAGAAAACGTCATCTGACATCATAATAATGTGACGTAATATAATCACGTAACATAACATAACCCTTGACCCATCAGGGTCGTGGAGGTGTATTAATGGTAGCACTAGCACAAAAAACCTGCCATCTTTATCTGTCTTCTGCTTGATGAATAAGTGGATGAGAACTTAGTCCTGTCCATCTCTTGATGTTGTCATTCTAGTTCTTCTTTGCCCTCCTCTTCTTCGACTACACCCTAGTGTTCCTTGATATAATATAATATTCTTCTTCTTCTTCGCGTTCACCGGCTGTAAACTCCGGCGGAAAGTTATGGTTGTTCGTCCACTTCTGGACTGCAGTCCTGTTCCAGAACCTGAGTGTTGCGTGTGCATTCGTTTGACAGATCTGTATGCAGACTGTTGGTTCATTGCCTCTCAGGCAGATGCACTCCGACTTCGAAGGAAGCTTCCTATTAGTCGACTCTTACGACATGCTTTTGGGTATGCAATGGGTCTACTCTTGTTCTTCCCATAGTAGGGTCCCGGAACCCACACGGGGGATATAATATAATATAACCATATGAAAGAATGAATCAAGAATTGACATCACTGCACTAGGGTCATTTCCACATAAGCTCGGTCCTCTTCTCCAGCAGCCAACGAATAGTTGACATGCTAATAGTACCAGATACAGCCTCATTAAGGACCCACCTTAATGGGAGATCCTGGAAGAGAGGTTTATCTACACATGGCTAGCCCTGGTCTTAATGACAGCATTTACCATTTAACAAGAAGGGACTAAGCCACCATCTTCAGACTAAAAAAAAAAAAAAACATACTCCACTCAATGGACACCTAAA